TCGACGGAAGACAGAAACGGCTCAAAAAAGAACAAAATCTGAAGCAGGAGAAGACTACTGTTATGCCATCTCACGAGGCGGCGTCGAGGAATCAAAAAAGGCATCGGATGACTGAACAAACAGATAAGAAGCAAATAAGTAGGAAAAGTTTCCTGTACGAATTTGCCGCATCTTATGCCGACATTTCAGAATCTGCAATCTATCTCATGTGAAAAACTTTCGCCATTCGGTTTGATCGGCATCTGGCCAAAAGAGCTTTTCAGAGGTATGGAGATCAATATGGTATTCGGAAAATGGGCTGGGAAAGTGGTATGAAGATCAGTAATAAGCAGCTAAATCACACACGTTTCGTGGATGACACAATTCCTACTGCGAATCCTCGCGAAACAAAAGAGATGCTGTAGGAGCTCAGAGCAGGAAGCTAATTAACTATTAAGATGAAAGTAATGCAAAGCCCAGTATACCTTGAACGAATCTGCAAAGCGACCAATTCTATGTTGGCCTGGAAGTCAATATGAGTCACATGCTCCAACATTAGGCATGTTGAAGGGTTAACCAGGGGCGCAAATTTCACAGTATCGCCAAGTTTTCTTCAACCGTTGCCGGGCTGACACCAATGAAGTACCGACACGAAACGTGGTCACTAATGAATACCAGAATTGGACATAAGGGTTCAGTCTAAATACCATGTGTAATGAAGACAAGTTGGAAAGCAATCAGTGTTTCATTCTTCAGCTGTAAACACAGACAGCGCACAGCGCGGGACAGAAGTTGGCCAGCTATTACTACAGCCTCTTACTGGTCTTGTATATGAAGAGCATGTGCCTGTTCACACAATAACAGGGTAAAGAAACGAGATTAGTAGAAGAAGGAAAATGATATGAAGTAACGAAAGAGGAGAGGTGGAAGAAGGATTTTTAGGAAGTGCTAAAGAAAATGAGAGGGGAAGGCCTATGTTTTAGACATCTATGCTGAAGACCCAGTTTAAGGCTGAGTGAATGAGGGAAGTTAGTAAATATCGGTCTCGGAAGCTGAAAAAGAACATTCGCTGTGACCGAGGCAGCGAAAGCGCAAAGGATGTTTAGCTTGTCTCTTTGTATCCAAATAAACAGACTCCTTGTCAGATGTGCGAAATGCAGGATATCACTACGACCAAGGGAGAAGGATATCACTAGTACCGATGAGCAGGGCAATCTGCTCCTCTTGTTTATAATCAGAGGGCTTCACGCATTAATGAGTGAAACCTACGAGAAAGCAAATGATCACTTCGGCGGCTTCCAAAGAAGAGCTTACATACAGCGAGCGATGTGTATTATCTAGGAGGTATGCTGCTCAGGACAGAATGACCTGGAACAGGGGACTAACACATTATTCTACACCAACTGCCCGGGTAGTTTTGGTAGCAGTATAAATTGCTGATTTTTTTAAACACAAACCAATAGCTCGAGTGCGAACGGAGGTCGAATCAGCTGGCAAACCAATAATCTCCACAGTAACAACTGGCGAACAAATACCTCTATTTTTGTCTCTCCTCGACAGGTGCTGCCCAGCCAAAATCTGAACAAAAGTAAAAAATAATGAATGTCAAGAAAGCAAAAAAAAAGATGACATCCAATTTTTTATGATCAAATAAAAAACACAAATCCTAATTCAAAGAAAAATGCACATAAGCTATTTTTTTCTCATATTTTTCCTTCCTACTTTTTTAATCATATTTTGCCAATTACTTATTCTCATATGTGAATGGAGCAACTTGATCAGCTGCAATCTACAGTCTAGTTTTCTGGCTATGCAGGTAACAACTAATCCTGTTGCTTTGGACAATGCTGTATCGCCCAATTTATGTGCTCGCGAGCCTTCGTTTCCTAAAGAAATTGTCCGTTCAACGTCTTTTCCAGTAGCAGGCTTCAAATGTTACGAGATGCTCGTAGTATTTCCTGAGCGTCTTCAGCCTATTCCCACTTCAAGGTCATGATGTTGTATCTCATCGACTACGAGAATCCCATATGTGGCTTGTTCCAATTCCTTTTGCTAGCATATATCACACTGCAGTTTTAGTCCCAATCAAACAGTTGGTTAATTATAGATTAGATTTTTGTTATCAGTGTCTTTAATTACTTCATAAACAGCTCAAAATTTTTCAGCCTAATTTCTCTGAACACTTGAAAAGTTACTATGGCCGGTAAACAGTAAGCTCGACTTATTCTTACGTTGAGTGTAAGTACAATTGGACAGGAGGTAGAAACAACTTCAGCAGCATCCGGAGAGAACATCTCATCGATCATATATGATGGTTTCAGCACATATCCACACTGGCCATTTGCCATAAATTTCCCCTGATTCAATTGCATCGCCTGCAAAATTTACCAAATTCTGCAATGGAAAAAAAGTATAGGAACTGCGTGAACACAGAAATGGGCAGTAAGAAGACAAGTGGTTTAACTCTTTCACTTTCTTAAAGCTCTCCAAACGACTAGAAATCCATGAACGGCTTTACACAATTAGTTTTTCACGTTACAGCCATAAAATAATAATTATTCCATGGAAAAAAAAACATTGAGGAAATATCGCTGCTAGCTTTTCAGCACAAAAATTCTGAATTCATACGAAGTCTTCTCAGCGGGTTCCTTAGCAGACAAGACAACTCGTTACAATTTAGAAGTCGCAACATCCCAAAGCAGGCTATAATGCTCAATACACACCAAAGGTATCTGAAAGCGGCAGAAGCTTTGTCAAGCGCTTTTGCGGGAGAACTACATAATTGGCAATCCCTTCAGGAGGCAGAAGGAAGACCAGGATCGCTGGTAGATTGATCGCCAGGCAATGTAGCACTGGTGGTCAATCTATCACTGGCTCAGCGAAATGACTGGAACAGTTGTTAACTGCAGTTGTCAACTTCATGAACTGTCAGCTTTCCTGTTTATCTCGAGAGTCCCACATGCATGTATTCCGACGTATATCACCTGGGGAACTGTATTGTGTTATGCACGAATGAATAGACAAAATCTGGCGATACGCGACAGATCTAAAGCTGATGCCGCAATAACTGTTGAAGGATGAATGAAAGAAGTCTTGTCACCTTGTCGCCAGTCTGATAATTGAGTGCAACCATATGGCATGCAGCATTCCACATTGGCACAGGATCATAATTTGCCGATGTGACACGTGAACCTTGCGGATAGACGCGTGACAACTGCCTGGCATTGAACTGGATCAGGCCCCGTTCTTTCAG